CAGTTTTTTTGCGTGTGTAAATATAGAGCTTTTTACCTTTCTAAAACTAAACCTTCTTTTCAAAGAAACTCATAATAAGACCATTGGTTCTAGCTGATGGGTAAGTCCCATTCCATATCCCATTTTTGTTTTCTTCTTTTTCTCTTACTCTCCATCACTGGTGCACCTGCCCCAAACAATGAAAGCCCTTGTGCAGATCACTTCATTAGTCAAAACAATGATAGTCCTCATACATAGCAGTACATTCATGTGGCTTACTAAAGTGGTCCTCTTCCCACTGGTTCTCTAAAATTCCAATTTGTGAATACATCTGGAGGTTAATAAAGACACCCTCCTATGGAATTATTGAATCAATGAAATATTACAGGTTTAAACACAGTTTAGTTGGGAGATTCACTCCTGGGTTGTCTTCCTACAACCTACAACTTCGAGAGAATGTAACATCAGAGATTATTTTTATCTTACCTGGAACCAAAGTCTCTTCAGATTTAATTCTCTCTGCTTGACTTTTCTCAAGCTCCTCCTTACATTATTCTGATCCCCACATATTTGCAGGTCCTACAGTTCTTTTGTAGGCTAATTCCTTTTGGAGCAGGACCTATATTTCCCTGCTCAAGCTGTGCAGAACTCTGCCATTGGTTATCAGGCTGTAGTCAAAAAAGGGTGATGGAAGTACATCTTTCAGAAACCAAGAGTTATCTTTCAATGAATCTATTTCAGGTGAGTTCATATATGATCTCGAGGCAAAGCAAGGCTGTTTTCCTCTGTCAGGAGAAAATGAACAGCTTCTTCTGGTCAAAAAGATTTAGGGAAATTGTGAGCTTAAGGTTCTCAGGCTCATGCACCCACATATTTCTTGCCCAGGTCTTAAGATCTCACATTTTTTCCTGTCTGGAAAAGACTTTGGCATGGAAGACCTGCTGAAGCTATGCATTCAATCTCCTTTGCAGCTCTGCCACTCTGGATCCAGAACCCAATTTTTAACAGTGTCTAATTTACCACCACAAGAGATGGGAGTCTTCTTTATGGCTGCCATAGAAGCCCAATGGCTTTCATAGTGTTCCTCAGTTGGCAATTGGCTGCTTCGAACTATTGTTTTCTTCTTGCAAGGCTTACGATGCAGTCGAAATCAACCATTTTATTCCCCAATTCTTATTATTACCATTTCTCCCATACCACTCAAGTACAGCATCCACTTGGTATCCCAATGCCTTATCTTCCACCTGCACCTCATCCCAATTAACTATAGATGAAAGCTTTAGTAACTACAATGCATGCCACTGTAGGGCAGGGATTATGTGCTTTCCTACTTACTGTGAGGAAGACCTTTCCTTTGGCTTCAGATATGTGAGTTATCCAACTCCAAAACCCTATTTTGAGGGTCTACTCTTTATATACATATATTTTTTTCAGAGAGAGGGAAACATTGATTCATTGTTCCACTTATTTATGCATTCATTGGTCAGTACTTGTATGTACCCTGACTGGGGATTGAACCCACAACCTTGGCATATCGGGATCTAGCCAGGGCGAAGGGATACTTTTAAAGATCTTTTGAAGGGCTACCCCTGGTACTAGCATTTTTTAACTGAGGGTCCTAAGAAAACAAAGCTTGAAGTGAAAGATTATGTACTAATGCTTGATTGATAGATGGAATTTGAGAAAGAAAGTGTGAGGAAAAAGGAAGTGAGGCAGGAAAAAAATGAAAACAAACATGAGAGATGTGTTGCCAAGATGACTATAGCTTCAGTGCAAACAAAGATAGTTGTTTGATCTTCCAGGGCATCTCCAGAGAGTACTTAAGAAGCTACTGCCTCCATACAATAGGCAGAAGTGAGCTATCCCCACTTCTTTCTGTCTCTTTCTCTCATTGCCTAAGGTTTACCCTCCCTTCAGACATTAATTCCCCTACACTTGCAGATTATATTACCTAGCCCCTACAGGTAGCTTCTTGGGAATCCAGAGCCTCTGTATTCCATTCTGGGTATTTTGCAAGTGCTTCAGTCCTTCCTCCAAGTCAGTATTACATATAGGGACCCATCTGTTTGTGGGAGCCAGATGGCAGCAGGGGCTGTGGCTTTATGACTATAGGATACCTCACAGTGCCTGGCATTAGGAAGTACTCAGCAAATGTTAGCCATTATGAGTAACAGTAATTACGTGGAATTTTGTGTGATTATGTGATGTGGCTGTTTAGAAGCATTTTCTCCACCCCTTCTAAGGCTTTGTTAAGCACCACTAGACTCAGTCAGCACTCTGATACTGAGCCAGACACATCTCAGTGATTCAACAATTCCATGGGCTGTGATCCATCCACAGCACCTGAGGCCCAGCCAGGCAGCCAAATGGTTTTGCAACAAATTCACAATAGTTGTGGCCACAGGTGGGCCACAACTATTGCATGGCATACGGCTATGCAGTGAAGTTGAGTATTTTGCCTTTATAAAAATATGACTAGTGATAATTCCTTCCATTGCCTAGCCACCTTAAAATATTCTTTTAAACATTTGAGTTGTCTATGAAATCCTCTAAAGAAGTAAATTAATATTGTTTTTGTTTTATAAATTGTAGCTATGTAGTTGAGGGATAATTTTCCTATTCACGGAGTCATATATTTGCTTTTCAAACTGTGAATACATGAGCTCTCAAATGTCAAATATCTGAAGGATAATATTTTCTTTGGGAAATATGCTACATCATCCTCTGTGTTAGGTTAACCATAAATAAATATCCTTCATTTAATGAATAATTCAAGTCTTTGCCTTGTCACCATGGAAAAGAGGGCTCCCTGCTCCATTTTTTCTTTGTGAGACCCTTAATGCTGCAGACAGTGTTTACTTCCCTCGAGGGAACAACAGCTCTTGACAAGTGGAAATATGACTTCAACCAAGAAATTGCTGTTCTCTGTGACAAAAAAGCTTCAATATTTTGTTTTGATTCCTACTTAAAATATATGGAAAGAATTTTTATCATCGAGGTAAATCTGTGTACCGACAAATGTAATAAACAGGAGCCTTGAGATGAATTTGGGGCTTTCAAAATATGCCTTTTGCTTTTCTGGGAGCAAGAGTTAAGTTTTTAAAAGTAAAACTGGTAGAAGTTATTCAGTCTAATGAAAAATGTAAGCTGTAACATGGGTGGTTTCTAATAAACTTTCTAAACCATGCTTTTCTTGTTGATGATCAATGTTTATCATAAGAATCTGATCTCTGCATTAGAACCATTAGATGACCTAGTTGCCCCTGTTCCCAGATCGACATCACCATTACCTCAATACAGCTTTGGCTTTTTCAGGTCTGGTCTTAGGATGTGTACCTTAAACATGGCATGGGGCACCTGTCTAGATGCCTCAGGCCACCCCAACAACTACCAGCCAGACCTATTCCAGCTCCTGGCTCCACCCTTCTGAGACTGTGTTTGGTCCCAGGAGAGGAGTGGGACGTGGATAGGACATGGAGCCAGGCGCCATCAAAGTTGCAGAGAAATATATGGTAGAGTTATGCAGAAAGTATTGGGCTTTAAGTTGGGGTATATGAAAAAGAAAGATAGCCAGGGACCACGGAGAGAGGAGAACATTCCTTAAGTATCTCTGTGTTTCAGGTGCTTTAGCATTAAGACATATAATCTCCACAAACCTCTGATGAAGACATTATTACTTTGATTTTTATAACTGTGAGCATACAGGCTCCAAGAGGTCAGATACCTTTTTCAAAGGCACTCAGGTATAGATTTCTTAGGGAAAGTCAGTAGTTCTGCATGGTAATTACATTCATGGATGGGTGGCATGAGACAGTGGAAGAAACAGATTAGAAAGCTAGAATTCACGCAGATAATAGAAAGACTCATTAAATCATGTTCTTTCACTACAGTAGGCTGGCTTAGGTCCTTGTTAGCTCTGTAACCAAAGGCAACTATATTTAACCTCTCTACGATGGAGAGGGAGAGGAGTGATCTCATCATACCTACCACAGAAAGTTCTGTTAGAACCAAAGGAGACATGAGATATGGGACAACCAAAAGAGTCAGAAGCTTGTAGCCAAAGGCAAGAGCCAGGTGGAAAAAGCCAGAAGAAAGAGATGGCTAGACAGAGGCCCAGACATTGCCCCAGGAGTCTAAGGCCTCATTTTATCATCCAGGGCTTCATCCTTTATGGCAGGGGTTCCTGTAAAGAACCAGATAGTAAATGTTTGGAGCTTCGCATAGTCTCTATTGCAGCAGCTTCACCATGCCCAAAAGTAGCCATGAATTGTAGGTAAATGAATGGGCATGGTGGGGTGCCAGTGAAACTATTTATGGACATTGGAAAAAAACAACAAAAAAAACAAAACTTTGTTAGTTCCAATGAATTAATGTAAAGAAGACATTCATGCAACCTTTTGAAACTCTTCCTTAAGGCTATGAATTATTAATATTATAAGTAATACTAGATATAAGAAATACATTAAACATTTAAATCAGAGTGTTTCAATTTTTGCACTGTTGACATTTGGGGCCAGAGAATTCTTTGTTGTGGGGGCTGACCTGTGCATTAGACAATGTTTAGCAGTAATACCAGCCTCTACCCAGCAGATGTCAGTAGCATTCCCCGGCCTCCTGATTTGTGATGACTAATAATGTCTCAAGACATTGCCTAAAGTCCCCTGGGAGGCAAAACTGACCTACATCGCACTGAAAACCACTGTTTTGAAGAATTTTCTGTAAACATGCAGCAAATATGGTCCTAAAGCAAAAAACCAAAACAAAGTAAGGGCCTTTAAGAAAGAGACATTCCTTTCAAGTTTGCATACAGGAAATACTTTTTCTTTACCATGTAATGTTAAGTAGTTTGCATGTGTGACAACCAGAAAAAACTTATTATTAAATATTCATATAACTTCCATTTGTACCTTTAGTGCCATAAACCTAGCCCATCCACAGAACTCCAAAAAAATACAGCTTTTCACCACAGTATACATTACATACCAAATCACATTTATAGCAAACTGTATCACATAATTTTTAAGATGGCAACTAGAAGCAAGATTTGCAAGATTTTTTTGGTGTGGTAACATTTATTATTTCACATATAAACTCCAACAGAGCCCATAAAGAATTTCTTATTTGGCTTAGCCAAATAATGGAAAGACCAATGCTGACTTTTATCATTGGCATACAATGAACCAAAATGAAATTTTTACATTTATTGTTAAAGATCATGGTGAATTACTTATAGAGTGGAAATCCTTGAATACATAAATACCTTTACCATCAAAAATCTGTCAAGATCAAGACTCATGAAAACGGGCCGGCCTTAGGCACACACAGCATTGGCGTAGAAGTCACAGCAGTTAGCAAGGGCCATGGCACTGAACTCTTTGTTTTCCCATGGACCAGAAAAAGAAGCATTGGTGCCATTCAGAGAAGTACTGTAATGAAAAGCCAGAGAGATACACAGTGGGTCAGACTTGAAAAAATGCAACAAGACATATCAATAAGTTCTATCAAGCAACTGAAAAACAAAATAATGACCTGTAAAGGGATCCAATCACAATGACCAATTAAATAGAACAGAATTAAGTGCATATTTTCTCATTTGTGCCCAAAATAATACCTTTATACTAGCCTTTCTTTAGTTCCACACACCCCCACCTAGTACCAAGCAACCACGATTCTCCTCCATTTCTATGAGTTTGACTTAAAAAATTTTTTTTGATTCTCCATATAAGTGATGCCATGCAGTATTTGTCTTTGTCAGTCTTATTTCACTTTGCTTACTGTTGTTGCAAACACCGGGATATCCTTCTTTTATAAGGATAAATAACATATGTTTAACCTTTTATAAGGATATAAGAAAAAGTCTTTAAAAAGTTCAGTCACTGTTAATATAACAAGAACAGTTTGTGCAACATCAATGTAACCTGCCAGCCAAGAGAGTGGACTGGAGTGTGCATGTGTGAACAATTACAACTTCAGTGTACTAGTCAGTGGGGGCGGTAGACACCAGTAGGGTGAGCATGTGTACTGTATGGCCATCACATTCAAAATGACTGAGCAAGTCGAGCAACGAATCTGCATCATATTTTGTGTTAAGCGTGAATGTTCCTCCACAAAAACTATTCAGATCATTCAGAACTCCACAGCTATGGGCAACTGGTGATTGGCAGCTTTGTCACGACAGCACACCCACTCATGCACCACATCTCATGCAAAGTTGTTTGGCAAAATATTAAATCACCCAGGTGCCTCAGCCCCACTACAGCCTAGATCTGGAGCACTGTGACTTCTGGCTTTCCCCAAAACTCAAATCACCTTCGGAAGGGAAGAGATTTCAGACTGCCAATAAGATTCAGGAAAATATGAGGGGGCAGCTGATGGCAATTGGGAGAACTGTGTATGGTCCCAAGTTGCCAACTTTGAAGGGGTCTGAGGTGTCATTGTCCTATGTACAATGTTTCTTGTATCTTGTATCTTCCTCAGTAAATGACTCTATTTTTCATATTACATGGCTAGATACCTTCTGGACAGATCTCATGTATGTATCTTACTTTCCTTATCCATTCATTTGTCAGTGGATACACATGTTTTCATACCATGGCCACTTGAATAATGCTGCAATGAACATGGAAGTAGATAGTGATATCATTTCCTTTGGATGTATACCCAGAAGTGGGATTGCTGGGTCATGTGGTAGTTCTATTATTAACTTCTTCAGGAACCTCCACTGTTTTCCACAGTGTCTGTACCATTTCACATTCCCACCAACTGTGGATAAGGTTTTATTTTCTCCACATCCTTGCCAGTATTCATTGCTTGTCTTTTTTTATAATGGCCATACTAACAGGTGTAAGGTGATATATCACTGTGATTTTGATTTGCATTTGCATGTTAATTAGGGATGTTAAGCACATTTTCATGTACTTGTTGACTATTTGAATTTCTTTAGGAAAATGTCTATTCAGTTCCTCTGCCCATTTGTAAAATAGGATTATTTTTCAATTTTTTATATTTTTGCTATTTAGTTGTATAAGTTCCTACAAGTTCCTTGCATAGTTTGGATGTTAATCCTCTATTGGATATGTGGTTCGCAGATATTTTCTTCCAATCTACAGGTTGATTTTTAAAAATTTGTTAATGATTATTTGGGTTTTTGTTTTTTGCTGGTTTTTTCCTGCACAGAAGCTTTATAGTTTGATGAAGTTTCACATGTTTGTTTTTGCTTTTATTGCCTTTGCTTTTTGGTGTCAAATTTTTAAAAAGTCATTGCCAAGACAAATGTCAGGGAGCTTACTGCCTATGTTTTCTTCTATGAGTTTTAAGGTTTCAGATCTTATATTCAAATCTTTAATCCATTTTGAGTTGATTTTGTGCATGGTGTAAGATAGGGATCCATTCAGTTTTATTCTTTTGCATGTGGATATGCAATTTTCCCAACACCATTTATTGAAGAGACTATCTTTTCCCCATTGTGTCTGGGCTCCGTTATTGAAAACTAATTGACCATTTATCCATAGGTTTACTTATGGGCTGTCTTCTGTTCCATTGATCTATGTGTTTGTTTTTATGCCAATACCATTCTGTTTTGATTACTATAGATTTGTAATATAGCTTGAAATCAGGAACTGTGATGCCTCCAGCTTTGTTTCTTCTTTCTCAAGATTGGTCTGGCTATTCAGTCTTTTGTGATTCCATATGAATTTTAGGATTGCTTTTTCTATTTCAATGAAAAATACCATTGGGATTTTGGAATAGACACTGTAGATTTATTTGGGTAATATGGGCCTTTTAATAGTATGAATCCTCTTAATCCATGAACATGAGACATCTTTTCATTTATTTGGGCCTTCAGTTTCTTTCATCAATGTTTCATCCTTTTCAGTATACAGGTCTTTCATTTCCTTGGTTAAATTTTTTTTCTAAACATTTTATTTTTTTTTGGTGACATTATAAATAGGATTGTTTACTTCATTTCTCTTTCCAATAGTTTATTGTTAATGTACAGAAACACAACTGAGTTTTGTATGTTGTCATGTATCCTGTAACTTACCGAATTTGTTTATTAGTTCTAACAATTTTTTGGTGGAGTCTTCAGGGTTTTTAAATATAAGATTATGTCATTTGCAGAGACAATTTTACATTTTTTTCTGATTTGGGTGCCTTTTATTTACTTATTTTTTACATAATTGCTCTATGTTGAATAAAAGTGTGAGAGTACGCATCCTTGTCTTATACCTGACTTTACAGGAAAAGCACAAAATTTCTAACATTGAGTATGATGTTATCCGTGGGCTTGTCATACGGCTAGGGCAAAAGTAGGTTTCCTGTTGTGAGTATCTAAAACAGAGTTTATTCTTTTATTATTATTTATTAATTATTGTATTATTTTCCATATGAACAACTATAAACCTACTCTTGCTCCACCTTCTATATGGCTTTTATTATGCTGAGTATTCCTTCTATATCCAATTTATTAAGGAGTTTTATCATGAAACAATGTTGAATTTTGTCAAATGCTTTTTTCTGCATCTATTGAGATGATCATATGATTTTTAACCTTAATTTTGTTAAAATGGTTTATCACATGTATTGATTTGTGTATGTTGAAACATCCTAGCATCCCAGAAATAAATTTCACTTGATCATGATGGATAATCCTTTTAATGTTTTGTTGAATTTGGTTTGCTAACATTTTGTTGAGGGTTTTTGCATAAATATTCATCAAAATATTAGCCTGTAATTTTCTCTTCTTTTAATGTCACTATCTGACTGTGGCATCAGGATAATGCTGGCCTCATAAAATGAATTTGGAAATGTTCAATCCTCTTATGTTTTTTGGAGAAATTTGAGAAGATTGGTATTAATTCTTCATTGACTTTTTGGTAGAATTCACCAGTAAAACTACCTGGTCCTGGATCTATCTATCTATCTATCTATCTATCTATCTATCTATCTATCTTTCTTTCTTTCTTTCTTTCTTTCTTTCTTTCTTTCTTTCTTTCTTTCTTTCTTTCTCTCTCTCTCTCTCTCTCTCTCTCTTCCTTCCTTCCTTCCTTCCTTCCTTCCTTCCTTCTTTCTTTCTTTCTTTCCTTCCTTCTTTCTTTCTTTTTGGTTTTATTCAGAGGTTTTGATTACGAATTCCATCTCCTCAGCAGTAATCAGTGTGTTCAGATTTTCTACTTCATGATTCAGTCTTGGTATGTTGAACGTGTCTAGGAATTTATCCATTTATTCTCAGTTATCTAATTTTGGGGGTATAATTGTTAATACTACAACTGACCCTTGAACAATATGGAAAAGTGCCAACCTCCTATACAGTAAAAAATCCACATATAACTATACTCAGCCCTCTGTGTACATGGATTCTCATTCATGGAGTTGACCCTTGAACAACTTGGGCTTGAACTGTGTGGATCAACTGAACTTCAGTAAATTGAAAAAAAGTCACATGTAAGTGGATACACACAGTTCAAATCCATGATCAAGAGTCAACTGTAGTTTCTTATGACCCTTATTAGTATTTCTGTGTTCCATTATAATATCTTCCCTTCCATTTCTGATTTTACTGGTTTGAGTCTTCTCTTTCAAATCTTAGCTAAAGATTTGTTTTCTCAAAAAAGAAAAAATAAGATAGACTCTTAGTTTCATAAATTTTTTCTGCTGCATTTTTGTCTCTATTTTATTTATTTATACTCCGATCATTGCTATTTTTTTCCTTCTACTAACTTTAGGCTTAGTTTTTTTCTGGTTATTTGGGTGTTAAATTAGGTTGTTTATTTGAGATCTTTATTTTTTTTCCTTAATGTAGGTGTTGATCACTATAACTTACCTATTAGAACAGATTTTGCTGAATCTCATAAATTTTGGTATGTTGTGTTTCCATTTTTTCATTTATTTCAAGTTTTTCTAGTTGTATTGAGATATAATTGACATATAACATTGTATAAAGTGTGTAACATAATGATTTATGTCTCTTTATGAAGTGATTACCAAAATAAGTTTAGTTAACATCCATCACCTCACATAGTTACATTGTTTTTTCTTGTCAAGATATTTTTAAATTTCTTTTTTTATTTCCTTGACCTATTGTTTAGGAACATGTTGTTTAATCTCCATATATTGTGAATTCACCAGTATGTTCTTTTAATTGATTTCTAGTTCATAACATTGTGGTTGGAAAAGATGCTTGATATGAGTTCAGTCTTTCTAAATTTATTAAGACTTGTTTTGTTGCCTGATATGTGATTTATCAGATAATTTTCATGTGTACTTGAGAAGAATGTATATTTTGGTGTGGGGTGGATTGTTCTGTAAATGAATAGTAGGTCTATCTGGTATAACATGTAGTTTAAACCAATGTTTCCTTATTGATTTTCCATTTATATGATCTATCCACTAGTAAAGGGGAGTATTAAAGTCCTCTACTATTATT